GGACATCAACTCAGGCATAAAATCTAAGACCCACAACATGTTCTGCCTACAAGATACACTGGGATACTGGTGACTCAGATCTTGTGGGAATGGCCAAACAATGGCTACTCTAACTTGAGACCCAAGGTACAAGAGGGAGCCCATGCCAGGAACTAAAAGTAGAATGGCTCAGAGATCTAAGGTAGAACCAAACATAATTGACTGACTGACTGAATGAATGAATGAAATAATAAAATAATTACTAATGATATTCTGCTATGCTCATAGATTGTTTCCTAGCCCAATCATCAGCAGTGAGGCTTCCTCAAGCAGCTGATGGGGGCAGATAGAGAGACCCAGTTTGTCAAACTCTCAATAGTGAGCTCTTATCTCCCTTGCATTAGTAATTTTCTTAGTCGTCCTCTTTTTGTATCAAATTTATAAAGTCACTTTAAAGTTTTATTCAGCCTACTTGTAGAGATATTTACAAAATATTACTAAATGTATAACTCTAGTAAGGTTCTAATAAGCAGATTCTTTAATGGGATATTAAGTAGGCAAAACACAACATATTTTGATGGGGGATGTCCTTGTGTATATATGTTTCTCTTAAAAACACTGTTGGCCAATAGAGCAGGAAGATAGGCAGGACTAGGAGATTAGGAGGATTCTGCAAAAGGTAGTGAGAGAGTCCCATGGAGGGCCTCCTCTGGTAAGACAAGGCCATGTAGAAATACATATATTAGTAGATATGGGTTAATCATTAAGATAGAGCTAGTCAATAAGAAGCTGTAGTCATCGGTCAACAGCTTTATAATTAGTGTAGTGTCTCTGTGTGTTTATTTGGCACTCAAAGGCAGTTTCAGGCGGGACCTGGTGGGAAAGAAACTGCCAGCAACAATATTTTGTTTGTTTTAAAGGCGGGGTTAAAAGGTTTTAATGAAAAAAACTCTCATTGGGAAAAACACAAATCTATCACCATGCCTCAAAACAGATTGTTGTAAACTATTCCAACAACCTATGACATTTGAGCTTCCCATTTCAATACTGCTTTATAATTGGTGAGCTCATAAACAAAGTCTCTGCAAAAAAAGAACATTTTATTCTGTACTCTCTGGAAACTTCCCTTCCTAGGAAGTAAGCAAAGCATTTACTGAATTACAACTATGTTTTTTCCTAGTAGGGATAAAAATTCAAGATACCCTTTAAAAATAATGTGTTCAAAACACATACAAACTCCTTATGGATACAAAAAAGCAAGCAGTGCACTCATATCATGTGGTACATGGAGGTGCTTAGCCTAGCTGAGTGAGTCTTGCCTTTCCAATCACTTTATGTTCTTTTGACATGAGAAACTCTTGCTTGAACTACAAATAGACATAGAGGATACTCTGTGTGTTGGACTGGAGGTAGTTTGATACAATCTGACCAAAGCTTTTATCCTGTATAATGCCATTTATCATAAGCTCTTTTAATAAATGACTCTGACATCTGCTGGTCACCCGGGCTGTAGGGTAGCTATGGAAGGCACTGCTTTGGCATGATTAAGATTTTGTGTTTTCTGACATCATTTGGAGAGAGATTCCAAATTGGAGATCTCCATCAGGTCACTACCATTGGAGCTCAAGGAACCCTTAGGAAGAGGTAGAGAAAAAATTTCATGAGCCAGAGGGGTCAAGAACATCAAAAGAATACAAATCTACTAAGCACGGCACATAGGGACAGAGATTGAAGCACAATCACAGGGCCTGTGTGGGTTGGTCCTCTACATATATGCTATGGTTGTTAGCTTGGTGTTTTTGTTGAACTCATAGTAGTGGGAATAGGGGTGTCCCTGGATCTTCTGTCTGCTTTTGTGACCCTTTTTACCCTACTGAGTTGCCTCACCCAGCCCTAATTTGAAGGTTTGTGCTTAGTGTCATTGTAACTTGTTATGCAGTTTTAGGTGATACTCCTGGGAGGCCTGCTCTTTTCTTAATGGAAAGGGAGGAGGAGTGAGTCTGGGGGAGAGGTCAGATTTAAGGTAACTTGAAGGAGTGGACAGAGGGGAAACTTTGGTCAGAATGTAATGTATGATAATAATAATAATAACAACAAGAACAACAGATTTTCTTGTTTCTGTTCATTGATTGAGCAATGAAGAGCTGCAAATTTACAAGACCTCCAAGGATGAGAGTTCCTAAGTCTAGCTGTGGACTGACATGGTCCTAAATTAAAACATAGAACCCACCACTTCTGGTCAAATAAATTTAAGTGTTTCTTTGTTAACACTGCGCTTTAAAAACAATCATTTGTTTAAATGACAAGCAGCTACTATGTAAAAAGAGAGTTGATGCATTTAAAGCAAATTGTTAAAAGCAGTAATTACATACAGAATACAAACATATTCTTTGGAGCTCATTTGCATTATTTCCTGATGGTCTCATTCTTAAAATGAAAGGGTAATTACCCAAATATATGGAAAATGCAACCATAGAACCAAATCAACTCAGAAGACACTACTCATCCAAGTATAACCAACCACCCGTATTTGATGGGGGATGTCCTGTCTGTCTGCTGTGAATATATGTTTATCTTATTGGTTTAATAAAATGCTGATTGGCCAGTATTTGGGCAGGAAGTATAGGTGGGGCTACCAGACTAGAAGAATGCTGGGAAGAGAGAGGCAGAGACAGAGTCACCAGAAAGTAGGATGCCAGGCATTTTCCAGTAACCCAAGACCACGTGAAAATACTTAGATTAATAGAAATGGGTTAATAGTTAAGAGAGAGCTAGCCAAATAAGAAGCCTGAGCCATCAGCCAGTTCATAATTAATATAAGCCTGTGGGTGTTTACATGGGTACTAAACAGCTGCGGGATCAGGCAGAACAGAAACTTCCATCTATACATATTTTACATAAATTTTGTGTATTTGTTCCCAAAGAGTTCTGTAATAAAAAGAAAATAATATTAGCATTTTGATAATGATGGGAGTATTTCCTCCTTCAAACAAATATGAAATTCCTTTCATAATTCACATTACAGGTGACATCACTTTCATAATTGACTGCAGTGTAAGTCACAGAGGCTGCTGTTGCCCTGGTCAGTGGGATCCACCTTTGTAACCCTTGGGCCTGTCTTATTAGTGCCAAGAAGCAGTTAATTGTGATCAAGAATATCTCAGAATTGGCCAAGATGGGGTGGGGAGGGATATATTTTATACAAAAAAACTTGAGGCCAACACAGGCCTCAAGGTATGCAAAGAGCTAAACCAAAACGTTGCAATTATTTTGGGGTGGGAAATTGAGTATGCCCATTAAGTCATTTGATTCTAAGCATCTGTTGGCCTGATGATGCTCCCCAAACACTGCTGTCCTGTCTTGACAAGAAAAGAATTGCATGGCTGAATAGGAAAATATTTCAGAGAGGCATCTTGTGTGCAAAAAGTACTTACTCTTCCTTAAAATGGCGTCTGCATTTTCAGGCACAGGTTATGGTGTTTTATATGGGGCTGAACTTAAAACCCTTTCATTGTAGGTCAAAGGTTTAAACATGCAAATAGAAACTCAAATAGCCAAGGAAACAGAAAACATATAAACAATGCATTTGTTCAATGAAACTGAAAATACTTCATCCTCAAGAACTCTCGTGACACAATAAATAAAAGACCCATAGACTGATATTGGGTTTCAAGCTGCAAGCTGAAGATCAGAAATACAAAGCAGGCAGCCACTAGCTCTTACCTCTACCTCAGACTGAAAGGTGATCCTGGTTCCACCAACCTCAGACTTTAATCCCAGACTGCTATGCTATCTTCAACATGGCTGGAGAATCCTGAGACTGAATGCTGCCTCTGAGGCCTTGATCCTTTCTTACATTCCTCCCAGGTGTTCAGATCAAAGGCATGAGCTGTTACTCTTCACTCTTGTGTAGGCCATAGTGGCCCTAAACTCACAGAGATCCACCTACCTCTTAATCCTGAGTCCTGGGATTAAAGGCGCACACCACCACGGCCTGATCTCGATAGCTTGAGGATGACTTTCCTTTCTGAATCCTCTGGCAAGCGTTAATAAATCATAAATAATACATCACTAGTAATGTCATAGGATGAGAAAGGAATACAAAGGGAGCTGGCATGTGTTGGCAAAGATTTTGACTTTAGGAATATGAGTTCCCTACATGACAGTAACCAGCAGCCTGCTCAAACTCAGGAAATGGAAATGAAATTTCTGCAGATCAAGGAATGGTTCATGTCAGGTGTAAGCCGACTGAGCAAAAGCAAAACAAAAAAGGGGTGGTGGGTGGAGAAAAAGCAAAAGCAACAAGCTCCTATGGGCCCCAGATCTATTTGAAATATTTTTCATTTCTATTTACTAAAGTAGCAATATTTTTAAAATACCAATGCTTTAAGAAAGCACTCTATAGCTGTTTTGTTTCCTTCCATTTCCCCTGCCTCCCTGCCACCCCTCCCTCCATTTATTCTTCTGTTCTTTCTATTCTTTCTCTTGCTCCTTTCTATTTGCATGTTTAAACCATTGACCTACAATGAAAGGGTTTTAAGTTCAGCACCATATACTCCAAACCATATAAAACACCATAACTTGTGCCTGAAAATGCAGACGCCATTTTAAGGAAGAGTAAGTACTTTTTGCACACAAGATGCCCCTCTGAAGTATTTTCCTATTCAGCCATGCAATTCTTTTCTTGTCAAGACAGGACAGAAGTGTTTGGGGAGCATCATCAGGCCAACAGACGCTTAGAATCAAATGACTTAATAGACATACACAATTTTTCCCCCAAATAATTGCAAAGCTTTGGTTTAGCCCTTTGCATACCTTGCATAGTTAATTAGCTAGGCCTTAATGTTTACATGCAATGAGAGTATCTACAGCTATAAACTACATAATTTATAATTGATGTAAATGGGTGTTATTATGTCAATTAGGCAGCTGTGTCCTCCACCTCTTAGTAAATAGCTATGAGTGATAAACCGAGTTTGCAGAGAGGTACCGTCTCTTCATAACAGATAAAAATAAATTACCCAGGCTGACCAAGCTGTCCAATTGTTCTTTGTTGAAGTGGATGGAAAGTCCGGGCCCTTTCTTTTGACCTGTTGACTGCAGGAAGCTGTCAATTTCGTTACTCAGTACTTTCATACTTTCTGGGTGCCGAAGAAGATAATACATTGCCCAGAACATAGTTGGAATGGTGTTTGCCATGGAGGCCCAGAGAAAGCCAAGATGATGTCCTGGGAGAAAATAAGTGAAAAGGAAGATTAATAGCGTTTATTACACTGATTAGATTTGCAGTGTGCTAATTAAAAGATGTTAGGACACAGACCCAGCCAAGGATCAGTGCATGCTAATGAGAACCAATAGGCTTCTGAAGTCTAATTTTCTGCCTAATGAGAATAGTTTAAAATGTAATGTGTGTTGGGGGGCAGGAAGGTGGGGGGTGAGATAAGGGGAGTATATGCCGCTTAGTTATACTCTTTTTCATTATCATCATTAAGTATCTTGTTTTACCACCTCAGCAAAAAAAAAATCAATTATCACAGAGGGTTGTTTCAGAGTAAAACATTTTATCACAAGCCAATTAGAAAGAGTATAAAAATTTTCAAGGTCACCATTTTTCTTTTTGTCTCAAAGGTCTCCTGTAAATTATTTTAGTTTAGTGAGTAATTGTTCAGAAATTTCTTACCTCCTATTTCAAAGTCTTCACGCAGATAGTGTTTCTCCAGAACATGTTGCCTTTCCTTAACAATTTCTGACTCCCCTTGCATCTGAGACAGTTTTTCTGATGTAAGGTGTTCTATAAGTTTCCACTGCAAAGCTTTTGCTTTCCTTAGAAGCTGAACTGGTATATCAGTTATTAGATACGGGAACATCTCATCATATTTTAAAAAATCATCTCTTAGCTCACTGATAAATTTTTTCCTGTTGCCAGCAAGAGTTTTTCCATAGATGACTGAAAATGTGGTTTCAAATATCAGTGAGGCACAGAATTCAAACAGACTTGCTGTATTCCAATCTGTGGATTTTAGTAGCTGGGACTCAAATATTTCTTTTATCTGTTGGTTCATGCATTCTAGGAGGCAGTCTAAAGGTTTGCCTTGCAAAAGCAGATAGTGTCTGTGAAGATCTTCATTAAGTTCATCATCAGTTGCCAACTTCTTGACGCCAAAGGCTCTTGCTGATACTTGTCTGCTGAACTTAGAAAAGTTCAATTGTTTGGGGTTTTTCATTACGAGATGGTACTGGAAAGGGTCCAGAATAAATGTGATATACTTCCCTTAAAAAAAAAGAAGAACATAGCTTATATGATAGCAAAACAAAACACATATCTGAAATCTAAAAATATTTAAATAAAAATTACAGTTAATATTTTTACCACACGAATTCAGCAGGCATCCATTCCATTCAAAGGTCTATTTTGTCCCCTTTGAAAATGGATGGCAATGTGAAACATCTCTGGAAGCTCTGAGGTAAATTTCTTCATATATATGTTTTTATTTAAATTAGAAACATGCTTGCTTCACATGTCAATCCCAGCTCCCTCTCCCACCCCTCCTCCCTTGTCCCTAATTTCTTGAAGATCTAAACTTTGCCAATCACTATGGCCTGTCTCTCAAACTTACATAAACTTCAGAGAGTCCCTTGCCAAAGCCCTGCCCTCCTCAGCTGAGAGAATCAGGGACTGCAGAGCCAGGCTCCTGGCTGATCCTCACTCACTCAGCTCAGCTTTCTCAGTACTGCTTTTAGGTTCCTTAAGATTCCAACTATTGGATGTACTAGCAGCAGTTATGCTTTTTTTTTTTTTTTGAGAACTACAGCTTTATTTGCATTATAAATCTGTTTCTTTTTAAGTACATTTTATTTAAATTAAAAACAATCTTATTTTACATACCAATCCCAGTTCCCTCTCCCTCCCATCCTCCCTTGCATCCCATTAACTCCCCCATGCCCCACCTCATCCACTCCCCAGGGAGGGTGAGGCCTTGCATGGGATATCGTCAAAGTCTGTCACATCATTTGGGACAGGACCTTGACCCTGCACTCTGTATCTAGGCTGAGAGGGTATCCCTCCGTGGGAATGGGCTCCCAAAGTCCTTGCACTAGGGATAAATACTGTTCCATTGTCACAGGTCCCATAGTCTGCCCAGGCCTCCTAACTGACACCCACATTCGGGGGCCTGGTTCAGTCCTATGCTGGTTCCCCAGCTGTCAGACTGGGGTCCATGAGCTCCCCCTTGCTCAGGTCAGCTGTTGCTGTGGGTTTCCCCAGCATGGTCTTGACCCCTTTGTTCACCCCTCCTCCCTCTCTACAACTGGACTCCAGGAGTTCAGCTCAGTGCTTAGCTGTGGATCTTTGCTTCCATCAGCTACTGGGTTTCTTTCCTAAAAACACACATAACATTGAGATAATCCCTCAGTGTCTATGTTCAGCTGTTAATATCTGTACTCCATTCTCTCTGTCTCTGCCTGCCTGCCTGCCTACCTGCCCGTCTCTCTGTCTTTCTCTCTGTGTAGCTTTCTTTCTTAGATGAAGAACTTTCCCTTGTGACTTACAGTAATTCCAAATGTGTTGCATAACCTGATCAGTTTGGTACAAGATAGTTTATATAAATATTTGGAATTATTGTCAAACAAATCCTAGAGTCAGTATAAATGTGATTTTATTTGGCAATTTATTAAAAAATACAGCTTAAATGTTAAATATCTATGTGAATTATATATGATGCGATTCATTTTCCTTACAGTGATTTTTATTCACTCCATTTCTCTTGATTTATTTAACCCAGCAAGGCAAGACAAAAGAGAGGGCTAGTGGGAGGTGGCTGTTCATTCTGGTTGGATACTAGTGTTGCCTACAAACTAAGCAGAGTTTTGTTTTCATTCTTTCTGTGTCTTGCCTCAGGGACAGCAGAAAGGACCACATTGGACTTGGGCACTTTAAATCACTAGCTTTACCATTATGACTTAATTAAAATTGCCAGCATCTGTCTGACAAATAATCGGGAGTGCGGGAGTCAATTTTCTCATTTTTCAAAAGAGATATTAGGCAAAGCTTTGTATTTTCACAGGTGATGATTCATGCATTCCTCTTCCCAATTGAATGAGTTTTGTCAGCTATTAATAGTTTTTTAATTAGTATTCAAATTCATAGTGTATATACACCAAGCTTAACTTGTAAATCACAATCTTTGGGCAATATTTTGAATTTTTAAAATCATTTTTTTACATTCATCTAAATCCAAAGAGAAATAAAAACAAATGTATCAGCCCAGGCACTATCAGCTGCTACAACTTGGCCTTTGAAGCAGAGGCTGGATAAATACTGGGTTTTTGCTCTGTCTGCAAGTCATTAGAAACAGACACATTCTTAACATTTCTCTTTTTCTCTTTCCTGTCTTTTTCTCCTCACTTCTGTCTCTCCTTTTATTTTCTCCTTTACCTTCCTTACCCCTATCAGGGAAAATATCAGGTTCATTTCAGATGAAAATATAAACGGAGAATGTGAAATAACTGGTTCAAGTCAGCAAACAAGTTTAACCTACTGTAAAACTTGATGGTGTGTGTACTGTATTGTGTGTGCCCGGTACACAAGTGCTTTGTGTACTTACGTGCCACAGCGTGCCTGGGAAAGCCAGAGGACAACTTTTGGAAGTTACTTTTCACGTTTAATCTTGCTGCTTCTGCTATTATGCTCTGTGACCAAGGCTGATTGGGCAGCGAGCTTCCAGGGAATTTTCTTTTCATTGCCTCCCTGTGTGTGTGTGTGTGTGTGTGTGTGTGTGTGTGTGTGTGTGTGTGTGTGTGTGTGTGATGTTGAGATCACAGATGTGCAGAACTGTAACCAGATCCAACTGGGGATCCAACTCAGTGATGGTTCTGTGACTGCCACTTTTACCACTTTGAACCAGGCCCCTATTAATACATTTATTAAAAAGTAGTTTTTTTCCTCAGGCATGTGTGTGCATGTATGTGTTGTGGACTTGTTGTGTGGGTGTGTGTCTGTATATGTGCAAGTACATGTGCTCATGGAGCGCAGAAACACCAGCTGTCTCCCTCAGTGACTCTCCATCTTGCTTTTAGAGCCAAGATCTCTAGCCGGACCTGAGGCTCATTGATTTAGCTAGGGTGGCTGGCAATTAGCTGCCGGGAATCCACCTGTCTTCACACACTTGTGGACACACTCCTCCATCCCTGGCTTTCACATTTGTGTGGGGGATTCAACCACCAGGTTCTAATGCTTGTGTATCTGGCAGGGTACCAAATGAGTATCCCTAAAGCCTTTGTAATAAGTTATTTAAGGGACCATTACGGAGAAGTTCAAACTAACTTTTCTCTCTGGGATCTGCACCTTTTCTGACTTATTCCAGTTTTAAACTTCCTCCCCAACACGACATTATTTCCTTGCCTTTTACCTTACCTCCTTCTGAGGGAGATATAGATCACTTCAGAACTGGACATTCTGGTTTTCTGACCATACTTTTCAAGTAGGTTTGGAAGTACCAATAACCCTGAAGATTTTAGCTGGCTTTCCAACTTTAATCTTCAGTATAAACAATTTAAGCTAAGTTTTCCAAAATTAATATTAATTTAAACCATCTGTCCACCATCTGCTAATGTGAGATGCAAAACTAGAGTTTCTTTGTGTTCTGTAATCAGACAGTTAGGAAAATACATATACATTTATGAAATGAATTTAAATTTCCTAACAAAGGATTTTTTTTTTCTGAAAAGTTATCCTGAAGGCTATGAATGCTCAGAGAGAATTTAACTTTTTTTTTCATTTTTTTTTGTTTTTGTTTTTACGAGACAGGGTTTCTCTGTATTGTTTTGGAGGGAGAATTTAACTTTTGTTTGTGTGATTTTTGTGTAAATGAATGCCAAGTGTCAACAGGCATATCACCTAGTTCACAGATGTCCCAACATGGAAACAGTAACCTTTGCCGTGTTTTCAAGAGAGGAGAACGCTGCTGGAAATGAATATAAAATATTGATCTCAAGAATTTCAAGAGTTTACATTTGTCTAAAATGTAAATGTCTAAAGGAGGTCCATGTCTGAAAAGATACAGTATAAAATAGTTTTTCTGCCCATTAGGTTAGAAATGGGGCCAACAATTTTGATATCTCCCTTGCCAATTATTTAATTTTTCTTCCCCTTTATGGAGCAGACATTGATTATTAATCCTAGCATTCTTAGATAACCCATCAATGCTTTGCAAACTCAATACATATATTTATTTCTTTATATTACTTACTTAGGAAGCTAATGCTTCAAAATAGTTTGATAGATGTGTTTTTTAATATACACTAACTACCTTGAAGTTTTATACACAGGAAATCTGACTTTTAGATAATAAGTGAGCTTTGCTGTTTTTATGTTGACTTGGTACCAAGTAGACATAGGCCTGGGAATTCAAGTAAGTTGCTTAAAAACTATGAAAAAAGTTGATTTCAAGTAAGTTTCCTAAAATTATAAGATCTTAATCTCCTTGTGTATGTAATTCTCTGGCAGGTTTCCAGTTGAATGTCGCCCTGTGAGCCTAAGTTGGGAAACTGAATTTGATTTGTTGAGAATGGCTAATGTTGTGTGCCTACTCCCCTTTATTAGGGAGATTTCGCTAGCAGTTGACAATGATGTACAGTAGAATTTCTCTGGGGTGACATTTAGGGAAAATGATTTCATTGTGCTAACGCACAAAAACCAACAAGAAAACTGTTTTCTGGGGCAGGCCAGGAATTTATGTGGTTTATCATTGAAGGCTGTATCTTTTAATTCCTTTATTAAGGTGACAATTGTGTCCCATGAGACTTTTGGGGATGACAATCATTTGCACCCCCACACATACAAAACACTTACTAAAGACATATGAAAAGGACAATGGTGGACAACTTTGTCCTTCATTTTTTAAATGAGCTATATCACAAACTGATTATCAAAAGTGTGTATTCACAGGTCTTTTCAATAGGGATGTATTCAAACTAATGTAAGACATAAAGCAGGGGCCATGGAGGTGGGGATGGGATAACGGGGGCGGGCAGGTAGCAGAACCTATTCAGTGGTGGCTGTTTATTACCAAGTTCAAAAACATAATGATGACTAAATTATTTAGTGAGTCAGTGTTTAAGTCCATATAAGACTTAGAATTTAAGATTAAGATAAGATATATGAGCAGGGATTGCTTTATTTTGTTTGATTTGCATGTGTGTATGTGTTTATGTGTGCATATGCATTCATGTGTGCTTGCAAACAACAGAGATTAACCACAGTTGCCATTGCTCAGGTGCTGCCTACCTGTTTTGTTTTTTTTTAAGAAAGGGTCTCTCACCTTGCCTGGGGTGGGGTTGGCTAACCAGTCAGGGAGTCCATAGATCCCTTTGTCTCTTCCTTCCTACTATGAGGATTTTAAGTACCTATCACCATGCAGCAAGCACTTTACCAAGTGACCTATTTTCCCAGGCTTCCTCTTTTATAAAATAAAGTTTGTTTATTTGTTTGTTACAGGAGTGTTGCTGGATTACAACAAACTCAAGAACCTTTTACCTAAAACTACCAAGTGCTGAGTAAAATCATCCAAACATTCTACAAGTTTTTGTTGAAACATTTTAGGTAACTTTTGCATAAGGTCTTAAAAAGAGAAAGATGGACGTTCTTGAGACTAAATTGGAAGGGAGTCACACACTAACAGAAAAAAGAAGGAGACGGCCAGGTGAACCTGTGGTAAACACTTGTTTTATGAATTGCTCTCAGCAGAGGTACTGTGGATGAAAGTCCCAGCGAAGGGTTTCCAAAGGCTGGATGTATGTCAAGGAAAGGATCTGAAGAGGAAGTGATGACCAACAGGGACTCAAGAGTTAGTTGACAGCAGGGCTCTGGCAGAAAGAAAGGCGAGCGGAATGGCAAAGGCACGAAAGCATGGTGTGTGTAGGAAGGTTCCATCAAGGATGCATACTACTGAAACTGTAAGCACAAGGCAATTATCAAGAAGGGATGGGAGTGGACTGGATAGGGGTCTTGGGAAGATCATATTAAATGTTATGATTCTTCCTAAGATGCGTTATTATTTTCATTTCTATTCTTCTGAAATGGAAATGCAATTATTATTGGAAGTGGCTTGTCAGCTGTCAGGAGAAAGAGTAAGTTGTAATAAAACTAATCTTGCCTGTTCATGGGTGAATTAAAACTAACTTTATGGATAAGTCAATCAAGTTGGATCTCCATTCTTTTATTACTCAAATGGTAAATTTACACAGTAGTCAGTATGTACAGAAGGTTGCATCTGATCCTCAGCAAAGCAATTGTAGGCAGAAGATAGCACGAGTTCTTTCGGAGTAAAATAGAGATGCTGTAGGGAAAGATATACTGATAAAGAATGACATGGATACATAAGGTACAATAAGGACACTCAGAGTCAATAGAGGAAGATGAAGGGCCAGTTTCAAGACGTTTGTAAGCAATTGAATATTTCAGGAATAAAGAAGAGGTCAGTAAGGCACCTAGAAAGACTAATTAGGCTAACCTTGAGTAGAAGACTGGGTACCATTGGGGAACTCTAGAAGATAAGTCACTAGAGACAGCAAATGCAAGTCACTTTCTAAAAGTATCTTGAAGATAGAGATAGAGATGGATATAGAAGTATAGATGGAAGGACAAAGGCAGGGAGACAAGGAGGGAGCATACAAGAACAGGGAGAGGGAGGGTGGGACAAAGATCCCAAAGTGAAGAAATATAGGCATGAGAGAAAGGATGTGTGATGCAACAAGTTGTGGTATGTGGTATGACAGGTATGTGTTTTGTTTTTAAAGCATGTTGAAAAGTCTGAACAACAATGAACAATTTAGATGCAGAAATGCATTCCAGGTCAGGGTTTGCAAGGCAGGGGAAGAGAAATGATTGTGGAGAACTTAGATTTTTAAGGTGGAGGAACCACTCTATGATACTGTAATGGTGTGTGTATAACATTATGCACCTACGAAAAGCCAAAGACTAGCACAAAAGCAGACCAGAAAGCAGATAAGGGGCTTTAAGTACCATGCCCACACCAGCCCATCAGTTGGAATGTATGTGCCATACCGAAATGAAGTGTTATTGGGTGGTAATCCGTGAACAGGAGAGTGAACATGTGAACTCTGAACTATCTGCTGCACTTCCTTACACTCCTCAAACTGCTCTATAAAGAAATCATTCATTTAAAACACATTTTAACTCCTTTTTTTTTCAAACTCTTCTCAAGTAACAGAAGCCAACCCAAAAGAAATCGGGAAGTGAGGACAGGAGAATGGCGTCTGTCAGAAGCAGAGAGGGTCCCATAACTAGGATGTGTACATGATCATCACAGAATTACCACGTGACATTCTTTTGCATTTGTTCTACAACACTAGATGAACTTTCCACATTTTGCCCACGAACTAATGTGAAGACATTAAAGAACCAGCAAGAGATTATGCCTTATGTGAAGTACTCTGGGCAGAGCTTCTCACCCGAAAGCAGAATAGTGAATATGTCACCGTGTTTCCTTTGGAGACTTTTCATGAAAGCCAGGGGATTCTTTCGGAGATTCAAAACAATGCCAAAATAAGGAAGCCAGCCTTTTACCAAGGGAGGTTCACCAGGTCGCCTATGAAGAGAAAAAAAATAAAAGGAAAATGAAATCATCCACCTTGATTCTATGCCGTCATCAACATGGCATGGTTGTTCTTTTTTTTTTTCTATTTATGTGGCTATAGAGTAGGTAGTTCAGGTTCATACCTCTGTCAAGAAACTTTTGATACCTGTTTTTCTTATAAGGATCCCACAGCTGCTTGGCAGCTCAGCCACAGTCTGATATATTTATCACAAGTTCAGTTTTCCATAATTGCATCACTGTATCATTGAAGGGTCTGTGGCTAAGAGAGCCATAAAGTAACCAAAGAAATAAAATGGAATTTATTTTGCATAAATGTCAGTTTAGTACAATGCTGATAAAAACAAGTTAATTGCTGCTTTTTTTGTCTTTTACCATTCATGCTATAAATGTTACCTACTTAATCTAGTAAGAACTAAACTTGATTATTTTATTTTTATAATTTTTATTGTATGTATTCAGGTGTGTTTTTTTTGCCTGCCTATGTGTTTGTGTACCAAGTGACTGAGGAGGCCAAAGGATGGCATTGGACACCCTGGAAGTAGATTTTTGGACAGTCATGAGCCACCACGTGGGTCCTGGGAATAGAATCGGGGGCCTTCTCAGAGAGCACAAGGGCCTTCAATCTCTGAGATTTCTTGTTAGCAGCCCCCAGTTTGTTGTAACTAACATTTGTGGTTGATGGTTGTGTATTGGACAAGTATGATGGCTGGTCTTGATTGTCAACTTGACACGTGTGGGAAGAGGAAACCTCAATTGAGGGATTGTCTCCATCACATTAGCCTGTGAGCAAGTCTGTAGGGAATTTTCATGATTTGTAAGTGATGGAAGAGGACTGAACCCACTGTGGGCCCTTACCCCTGGGCAGGTGGTCTCAGATATCATAAGATAATTGGCTGAATTTAAACCCTAGACACAAGGAGAAAGAGGGAAGGAACAAATGGGAGACAGAGGCAGGGAGAGATACACAGAAACAGAGAGGAAGCTATGATCTCTGCTTCAGTTTCTGCTTGAATTCCTACCCTGGAACCCCTGAATGGTGGGATTATAAGCCAAATAATCCCTTCTCACCCAAGTTGCTTTTGGAAAGAGTTTTATCACAGTGATAGAAAGCAGAAATAATTCCTGAAAGTAAGAGGGATAGGGATAATCTAAGAGAATTCTAACCCTTATAAACAATGCATAGCAATTGCTGATTATTGTATTTCACAGATTCCCATATTTTATTTCTTAGTAGCATGGAGTGTTCAGTTGCATGGACTCGGTCATTTAAATCTCAGATATATACAGAAGCATTTGCATTGTCCCACAAATATGAGTTCACTACATTTTTTTGTTTTTTTTCTTTTTGTTTTTATGAGACAGGGTTTCTCTGTATTGTTTTGGAGGCTGTCGGTCCAGCCCGGCCTCAAACTCACAGAGATCCACCTGCTTCTGCCTCCCGAGTGCTGGGATTAAAGGCGTGAGCCACCACCGCCCGGCATTCACTAAATCTTAATAAGTCTCTGTTGTACTTACATATGCTAAAGTTTTGGGACTTGAAGATTTGGAAAAAACCTTAGTGGATTTTACACATTAAATGGAGAAGTGTGTTCTTTAGAATGAATAACTTACTTTATTTACTTTATTCACTGTGTATATTTTCCATTCATTTGGCTGATCAAAGACTTTAGAACCAGATATCTCCCTGAAGGCTTTAGTGTATCTCCTGTTTTCATGGCCAAAAGAATCTCAGATCTCAGATGTTAAGATATTTGCCTCAAGGTTAAGGACATGCTGTAAACTCTGCAGCCACACAGCTGTGCTTTCAGCCACCCAGGAAAGTTAGTCAACCCATGAACCCAATAAAAAAAAATCTCAGCAATGTAGCTCTCTGGCTGAACCGAAAAACACATGCAGTAAGCATATAACACGGCAAATCTGAGAGCTCTTGCTGTGCCCTGGGTGTTAGATGTCATGTAGTTTAGCTGCCAAAGTGAAGCTCTTTGTTATCAGCTGTCAATCAGGCTGGAATCGCATAATCAGAAGAGTGACAATAAATTAATCAGAAAAATATGTTGTGCTATTGAGAACAATAAAGATGCAAGTATAGAGCATGGAGGATAGCTTGGAGGTAAAGTGCTTGCTTGTTTTGTCTGCATGAGACTCTGAATTGGATTTCTGGCCTCACACAAAGAAAAAGAAACCCACAAAACCTCAGCATAATTTTCCTGAGTTTTATGTTTGTTTCCATTTTTGAAGAATTTCATTGAAATAATGAATATGATTAGGATTGTTTGTTAAGTATCACTTATAAAGTAATTTTTTTTTTGGTTTTACGAGACAGGGTTTCTCTGTATTGTTTCGGAGGCTGTCGGTCCAGCCTGGCCTCAAACTCACAGAGATCTGCCTGTCTCTGCCTCCCGAGTGCTGGGAAATAAAGTAATTTTTAAACGTGTGAAACATCCCTTAAAATGCTATGAACTAAAGTCTTTTTCTTTTTTGATGTCTGACATCAGCAAACTTGTATTTGAAACTTTCTTCCAGTCATTTATCTGGTAAATGCAATCTAAGGTAAAAAGAAGAAAAATATAATATTTCCCCCCTTTTTTTACCCTGGAAAGGATAAAAACAAATATTCAAAATGATTTCGGTTCTCTGTTCTCTCTGTGGACTACATGCCTCATGAACTCCATACAGATCAATCACAAATATTACTTACTCAGTTCTAATCAAAGGTCAAGGTGATGACCATCTCAGCAAGGGTTTCAATGTAGCTGTATTAACTCTATCAGAAGTTTCATCTCCCAGACCAACATAGTAGGCATGAACAAAATAAAAACAGCAGATTTTGCCACCGTGTGTGTGTGTGTGTGTGTGTGTGTGAAAATAAAAACTGAGTTTTGATAGAAACAAAGGGAAGATTTTGCTTTCTTTATTCGAAAGGCAGCTATTTTATTGCTAATATAATGTATATGCTACTGTGTAGAGGAAATATAACAGTACATGGGATATGGACGTTGTTGGTTACTTGGTGTGGGAAATTACTTACATGAGAAACCAAAAACCCAGGTTAGTCTCTGCAGCCTTTCAAGACCCAATTGGAGCCCCGAAAAAGACCGAGTGCCCCTCTCCTCAGCCCATTATTCTACACACCCTGCATGCACCTGTGGCCATGTCCAAAACAGGCATGGTCAGCGCCACAGGTACCTAGATTTCTCCCTACACCACTGTTTAAGTATATATGTACAGACATGTGGAAACAAGTGACATTGCAGAAAAATATGGATCTCATTCTTTATATTCTTTTTCCTATTGTCTCTTTTAATTTTTTAAAAAATGTATGTTTTTATTGTAATAAATGTTTTAGTTATCCTGGGTTTTTTATTTTTCCATATGAAGTTGTGTATTGTTCTTTCAAGGTCTGTAAAGAATTGTGTTAACTTTGATGGGGATTACATGGAATGCTTTGATTGCTTTTGGTAAAATGGCCATGTTTGCCATGCTAATCCTACCAGTCCATGAGCATGGGAGATTCCTCCATCTTCTGATATCTTCTCTAATTTCTCTCTTGTAAGGCCTTCTGTTCTTGCTAGGCAGGTCTTTCATTTTTTTGGTTAGACTTATGCCCAGATATTTTATATTATTTTTCGTTATTGTGACGTGTGTTGATTCTTTTGATTTCTTTCTCAGCCTGTTTACCATTTGTATACAAGAGGGTTACTGCTTTTTAAAAAATTAATCTTATATTCAGTCACATCGCTGAAGGTATTTCTCAGCTGTAGGATTTCCCTGGTAGAATTCTTGGGGTTGCTTATGTATATCACCATATCATATGTCCTACCTCAACTTGATATGCCATGTTGTTGATGCCCTTGGGAGACCTGCCCCTTTCTCAACAGAAACAGAGGAGTAGTGGGTTGTGGGAAGGCAGAGGGGAGGCAGACAGAGTGAATGAGATGAATGGGAGAAGAGGGAGGAGAACTGTGGTCAGGCTACAAAATAAATGAATAAGTTTAATTAATAAAGAAAATGAAACTCTCTCTATATATGCATGCATACATACATACATACCTACACACACACACACACACACACACACACACACACACACACACACACACACACACACACACTGCCCAGGCTGGCCTTGAACTCAGTATGTTCTTGCCTCTGCTTCTGAATCTCTGTACTGGGATACAGGAGTGTAGTACCAACTCCTGGCTAATTCATTATTTCCTTGAATCCATTTTTCCACTCAGAGCTGGGGTTACAGACACAGGCCACCATACCCAGCTTTTTACATGGGTGCTGAAGTTCCACACTCAGTTTTCATATTTACAAGGCATATACTTCAGCCACTGAAGCATCTCCCCAGCCAGTTTCTACCCAAATATTAAGGAGAGACCACACATACGAAAAGAGAGCATGTCCCTCAGGTTGGAATTTGTTACACAACTGGTGACAAATTCTAGAAGTTTATAAGCATTCTAGTTCACAGCATTTTCTTTCAAGATACTAACCCAACTAATTTCCTTGATCTACTTTTACTGTGTCTGGTTTAATATTACATTGTGCATATGATTTAGTAAAGCCTTTTGTCATATTCTAATTTAATACAACTAGTGTTATCTTCCATGCTGTCATTCAACCAAAAGCTATATTCTTCATGGCGCTTCCACAGGGGAGAGGACAAGATGCAGAGATTCAAGGTAATATTAGTTGTGTCCCGAATTAGAGAACCACATTGTTAAAGACATGGAAGGGTCATCATTTCTTACAGCTGTATTTATTTTGGCAGCAGTAAGCTTAAGACTATTAAGAACTGTGTCACAACTGTACACAGTTACGGGAAAAATATAGTGCTTGTTCAACTTACAACCCATGTAAGACAGATAAAAATCTATCTTTATTGCTGTATTTGTAAAAGTTATGTAAGGAGGAGAGACATCATTATATTGGTCCAGAAAGGCTTGTTGACACATGGCACAGGACAACAACTGCTTTTTATCTTA